TGTTACCTAGGTTTAACTTGATTGGTTTTTGAGTCAGCCTTTAAATGACTTTTTAATCAGTTATGTAACTATGCCTAATCATGATACATTTCATATTCACATATGCAAATAAGCACATGTGTACTTTATTGTTTATATCTGTTTAAAATAAATTTAGAAGTTCAATATCTGTGCTTTGGGGTAAATCATGAGGGGTGGTATCCGTCTTGCCACTTGGAATATTTGGTTAACAGTAGCTGTAATTTACCTAACAGGAATTAAATATGTGATGTTTATGAATGCTTGTGTTTCATTAGAAAAAATATTATTATTATGGCCATTAATAAGATTTGCAAATCATTAGTACTGATCACAGATAAATACAACTACAGAAAAAAATCACATTTCATACAAATGATGCCTTAGATGGCTTTAACTTTTTTAATCTCAAAATTTTATTGTAGGATTTTGGGGAACATAACCCCTTAAAAATACCTATTTTGACCTGGCTGGTGTGGCTTAGTGATTGAGCGTCCACCATGCACCAAGAGGTCACCTGTTCAATTCCTGGTCAGGGTATATGCCCAGGATGTGGATCCAAGCCCCAGTGGGGGGCTGCAGGAGCCGGCCAGTCAATGTTCCCTCTCATCAATGTTTCTCTCTTTCTCTCTCCCTTCCTCTCTCTCTAAAATCAATAAAGAAAAAAAAAAATACCTACTTTGTTTCCTCCCATTTAGGGAGATAGCATCATCAAAGAGCTGTGTGATAATTTAACCTTTTCTGGGGAAAGCCCTAGAGCAGAAATTCTTTCCTAAGGGCCAATGAGTTGTTTGATTCAAAACTTCAACTTAGATGTTGTCTCCCTGGGGTTTCTTTGTCTCAAAGTCTGAAGAACTGTAGTCTGGCTGAAAATCGGTGGCATTTTTTGAATGCTGCACAAAAGTATCTAATAAAGAGAGGCGTTTGGCCCTGGCCAGTTTGGCTTAGTTACAGCGTTGGCCCGTGGACCAATGAATCGCAAGTTCGATTAGGGTCAAGGGGTTCATCCCCAGCCCTAGTCAGGGTCATGCGGGAGGCAACCAATAGATGTGTCTCTCTCATGTTGATGTCTCTCTCTCTCTCTCTCTCTCTTTCTCTCTCTCTCTCCCTCTCTCTCTCTTGCCCCCTAGCTCCCTGTCTGTCTGAAGATAAGTGGAAAAATATCCTCAGGCGAAGATAAAAAAAAAAAAAAAGAGGAGATGTTTGTCTTAGGTATACTGACACTCCGGATCTGAAAAGTCTACAGTACATAATTCCCATTTAGTTTTTTTTGGCTTGAGTCTACTCTCCTAGTAAAAATAAAGCTATTTTTGTAAGGGCTGTTTCTAGTACTTACATCTACATTTTAAAATAATTCACAGAAAGCAGTCCATAGTGATAACTTTGTGCAATGCCCAGATTGTTGCAGAACTGTGTTTTAAATAAATCTCTTTATGATGGCTGTGTTTCAGCAGTATCACAGGGTTCAGCTCACATGATTCCAACCCCCAACCCCTCACACACACACAACAATGGGACTCATCACCCCTTACTTAAAGTACTTGACTTATTTAATTTGTGTATTTGTCCAGTGTGTGTATGCTGACTGTCCTTTATGCATTGTTTGTGGCCTCATGTGCACACACAGCACTGAATAAATATCTATAATGACAGGTCCCCTTAAGAGACAGCAGATCGCTCTTTTAGGGAGTTGTGTGTTTCTATGGCAACTGCCTTTCCAAAACTTTGAATTTTATCCACATGTATTTTGCAGATACCAGAAACTAGCCTATGTTGAATTTAGAGAAGCTGATGTCTAGAGCATGCACACTGTGTTCGAAAGCTCATAGAAAAAAATCACGATTCTTTTTGTGTTTGACACTTAACCCAGTGGCCAGCATTCCATTCAGATAACCTTTTATTGTCGGTTTTCATGCTGCTTACGGTAAAGATCTCAAATGTATATGCAACTTGATGAAACTAAAAAGGAACAAAGTAGGTACTGTGTGTGTGTTTTTGGCCTCTCTCGCCTTCCCAGTTTTGTACATTATCATGTCGCTGGCTCATTGAATGAAATGTGCTTTCATCATCCATTTCCTTTTCTCTGTGTCACTAGAGTATCTGTGGGCTCTCGTTTACTAGCTACATCTGATCTAGAGAAAATAGGTTATGTTCCTGTTTTGAAAGGAGGACCATCTCCATGATTCAATGCTTTGTGCTTGTTAGCAGTTGGGATTCTGGAAGACACATGGACTGCATTCCTGAGCGATAAAATATATGTATAAGGACCATTTCCTAACTTTGTAGGATAATTCACATGAAGTAATTTGTGTAGTCTATGGGGTCCATGTATTCAAATTTTACTTTGCTCTTATTTGTCTTGCTTTGCTTGCAGAGTATTTTGTATCTTTTTAAAAAGTATACTTGTGTGTATTTGGACTCTTTTCCTTTCTTCCTGAAACACAGATTCAGCTTTCTTAAAATCAAATCAGCTATGCGGCTGGTGCTCTTTCACTTCATCCACATGTGTTAATTGTTCTGTGGTTTGTTTTGTTTACTGTTTTTGCAGACCTGATTTGCCATGGCCTATGCTTTTCATTCCACCACACCACATAGTTGATTTCCCAGTGGGGAAAAGTCTGCCTTTTCACCCGGTAATTAGTTATCTCATTCAAAAGGGCCAAGCTTCTCAGAGATGACTTTGTCACACTTTAAATGCCTGCTTTGCAGGATGAGAGCTCATTTAGTTACTTGCTCATCCATGTGGTAGAAGCAATGCATGACTGGTCACCATGGAAATTCTTAAGTATTTGAAGGGCACTGGATGGTTAATTAGACCATTTATACTCAGCTATTGAGAGATTATGAGTTAGTTTATAGTGATAAGAAACCAGAGTAAGAGGTAATATTTTCCAGCCCCATGAAGAAGTGATAGTGTTGTTTATTCCTGAAGACTATTTTCATTTGCTGAAAGAGAACTCGGTGACACTTTATCTTTAATACATTTTGTGTAATCTCTTGCTAAGCAAGCACAGATGTAGACTGAGTTCTGCAACCTCTCTGTTGTGTCCCCAGAACACAGGAAGAAAGTAAATGCTAGACTCTCCCCTGAAGGTGCGCGATGGAGGTGAGATTGTTTTTAGCAGGGTCCCCCCATTCGCTATGCTCCTAAGTCTTCCTGCATCCCTCAGTTCAACCTCCCATATCTTTTTAAAATTTATCTTTACTGTTGAAAGTATTACAGATATCCCCCCTTTATTCCCCCAATGAACCCCTCCTCCCCACTCCTGCACCCCTGCCTTCACCACACTAGTAGTGTCTGTGTCCACTGTTTATGCATATATGCATTTAAGTTCTTTAATATATTTCTTCCTGCCCCCCCTTCCTCTGAGGTTTGTCAGTCCGTTCCCTGCTTCCATGTCTCTGGATCTATTTTGTTCGTCAGTTTATTTTGTTCACTAGATTGCACATATAGTGAGATCATGTGATACTTGGCTTTCTCTGACTAGTTTATTTCATTTAGCATAATACTCTCCAGGTCCCTCCATGCTGTCTCAAAGGGTAAGATATCCTTCTTTTTTTTACAGCTGCATAGTATTCCATTGTGTAAATTCCCACTGTGAATCCCCCATCCAGTATCCGGATCTCATTCAACCCTGTCTCAAAGCCACAGTCTTCCTCTGCATCCTTTCCTATGTTGGTCTCTTTAAGTATTTCCTCCCTGTCCTAGTCAGTTACAATTATGTGGTTTCATCTTTCAGTCCAGGCTCCAGGTATATCCATGCCTTGCCTCCTCACCCCCACAGCCTGGCCTTTCTTTCTGTGGGACATTCTAAGCAAAGAGACTAGAAGTATTCCCTCTGAAAGAACATGGAATGGCCATTTAATAGTCTCAGAGCATGGTGCACTAAGACATTTTAGAGTTCTGTTCTGTTTCAAACTTGATGTGAACAAAAGATCTAAGACTTTTAAAGTTTTTTTAAAATTTGTTAATATTTTCTTTTCTATATATAACTCATGGTCTAACTCTTATATACCTCTCCAGCTTCTACTTGCTCCAAGCTCACCCCCTCCATCTCCATCTGGGGACAGTTTTTGAACGTGCCATATTCCGATTTTCCACTTGGCCACTCCATAGGCTCCCTCTGTCTGAAATGTTTCTCCATCCCCATCCCAGTAGCCCCAGTGTTCCTTCTTCAGGGACACCTTTTCTCCCCACCACCAATCTAAGCTAGGTTTCCCTTAGTATGCACTCATAGCACTGTATACCTTTAAAACATAACCCTTATTACAGTTTCAGTTTTATCTTTGTTTGCATGGTTATTTCATGAATGTCTGTCTCCCCCATTATTCTCTAAACTTCTATAGGCAAGCAGTTCCTTGTCTCTGTGTTTCCGGTGACCAGCACGGGAATGGATACATAGCAAGTGCACAGTGACTGCTGTTGAGTGACCATCTACAGATTTCTCTGGAGGCCCACCCAGTGGCCATTCATTAACCCCTTTCTGACTCATACACCCAGATTTGGTTGAAGTATTTACTGGCCTCCAGCTGCTTTAGTACAGCTAGCTCCAGCCCCAGTCCCTCATCCAGGGGGTGAATGTTTGGTTAGTCTAATCAATTCAAAATAGATACAAAGATGAAGAGAAACTGGGTTGATAATGATGTTGTTGAGCTGCTGAATAAACCAGTCCTAAGGCAGCGCTACCTCTAGACAACTTTTTGTGGGAGGCAATAAATCCTCTTATTTCTTTAGATCAACTAGGAGTATTCTGTTTCTGAAAATATCCTGATATAAAATGTCAAGAGTGGATGAATTCATGAATCAATGAACAACTTAATCTCACATCTCCACAAGTCCCTTGGTAATTCAGTTTTCTCTCTCTTCGTTTCTATGAAGTGGGCTATCAGTGAAGATGTTGACCAAGATTGAGCCCAATCCTGAAATCCAAAATAATTCCTATGTGTTTGAAAATTGTTTCCTTCCAGTAAATGCCACGTGCCCTGAACTTGAACTCACATTCTTCTTCACCTCTCACCCTTGGGCTCCGTATTTTGTTCACAACTTTTGGGGGCAAGCTCTTCTCTCAGGAGGTTGAGAGTCAAGTTGTCATACCCAGCGATTTCCTGTTTGTGAGCCTTGAAGCTCTAGAAGACTATAGGCAGGTCTGACAGAACCTGTAGGTGTTTTCAGACGCTGAGCTGGTTCATCCCCTTTGGTTGCCAGTTCTCCCCCAGCTACCATACCATCTCTTCTCCCTGGATACTGCGAAATTTCTCTGTGTGGAGATGAAATTCTCAAGACCTGCCTATTCCATGTTTTCCATGACTTTTCTGGGTTTTGGTGAGTTGCATTTTAGGTCCCTCCTTCTCCATTGTTCTCAAACAGTTTCTGCACAGGAGATTTTTGTTTGTTTCTTTCTTTTTTAAAAAAATATTTTATATTGAATTTATTGGAGTGACATTGGTTAATAAAATGTTATGGGTTTCAGCTGTACAGTTTTATAATACATCATCTGTATATTTGTAATGTGTGTTTACCACCCCAAGTCAAATCTCTTTCCAACATTATTTGTGCCCCTATACCCTGTTCTTCCTCCCCTCACTCCTTTCTCTCTGGTAATCACCATACTGTTGTCTGTGTTTATGAGCCTTTTTGTTTTGTTTTGTTTGCTTAATCTCTTCACCTTTTCATCCAGCCCACGACTACTTTCCCCTATGACAGCTGTCAGTCTGCTCTCTGTATCTATGAGTTTGTTTCTATTTTTCGTTAGTTTATTTTGTTCATTAGATTCCACATATGAATGAAATCATATGGTACTTTTCTTTCTCTGACTGGCTTATTTCACTCAGCATAATGCTTTCCAGGTCCATTCATGCTGCTGCAAAGGGTAAGATTTCCTTCTTTTTTACTGCCATGTAGTATTCCATTGTGTAAATGCACTACAGCTTTTTTATCCACTCTTTTACTGATGGACATGGGCTACTTTCAAATCTTGACTATTGTAAATAACCCTGCAATGAACATAGGATGCATATGTTCTTTCAAATTAGTGTTTCTGATTTCTTCTGATATATTCCCAGAAGTGGACTATCAGACAGTCATAAGGCAGTTCCATTTTTAATTTTTTGAGGTAACTCTATACTGCTTTCTACAGTTACTGCATCAATCTGCATTCCCACCAGCAGTGCACAAGGGTTCCCTTTTCTGCACATCCTTGCCAACACCTATTTGTAGATTTATTGATGATAGCCATCCTGACAGGTGTGAGGTGATACCTCGCTGTAGTTTTAATTTGCATTTCTATGATGATCAGTGAATTTGAGCATATTTTCATATGTCTTTTGGCCATCTATATGTCCTCTTTGGAGAAGTGTCTGTTCAGGTCCTTTGCCCATTTTTTAATTAGATTGTTTGTTTTTTTGTGTGTTGAATTGTATAAGTTCTTTATAAATTTTGGATATTAACCCTTTTTCAGATGTAACACTGGCAAATATGTCCTCCCATTTAGTGAATAGTTTTGTCTCTTAGCATTTTTTAAGGCAGAGCTTTGAGTGTGCTCTGTAAACCTAGTCTGTACGACCACTGGCTTTCTTTTTTACAGACCTCCGCCATAACCTAAGAAATGCAGAGTCTTAAATAAATACCACCCAAAATGCCTACTTGTTTGGTAGCAGAGACTTTGGAGTTCTCTCATTACTGGCTTGATCTCCCGGCACTTTGGCAAGAAACCACCAGAGGTGGGGAACTAGATCACCATTCTTTGAGAGTATTACCTTTGGCAATGCCACGGGGCAAAAGCACTGAATATATACTTGCTTTCTTAAACCAAAACAAGGATGATTCACTTTGGCCCACCCCCCTGGGCAAGAAGCATACTCTCCGATTCAGAGAACAATCCTAACTGCCTCAGAAGGTTGTTACAAGCTTAGGGTAAGATATTATGAAAGCATTCCTTTTTCCTGGGGAAACGCTATACAAAAGTATTACTATTACAAGACTGCCAAAGACAAACCTTTGTGGAGTATCTTTTCACACTGCTCAGTATCTACCTCAGTTTCCCTCTCTACCCTCAAAGAGAAGCAGAAGCAGGTCATCAGCTTAGCCCCCCTGGAACCTTGGAGTCAATCACCTGCTTCTGATAGCAGACCTCCTTTGCTGACCTCTGAATGGAAAATTTTTTTTAACTTTTGTGATTTCTGTTGAAAAAAATGTCTTGTAGTGCTTTGTGTATGATACTGACAGCTCATCACATTTGCTCTGACGCAGTTAGTCATCATTTTTTCACACCTACTACGTGCCACATATTGTTCTAGATACATGGGTTACGTCTGTGAACAAAGGAGACCAAAATTTCTGCCTTCTGGAAGCTTATATTCTAGTAGGGGAAAACAAAAAATAAGCAATAAATAAATAAGCAAATTATAGTGTGTTAGAAGATGATAACTGCTATGAAAAGGAAAGAAAAAATAGCAGGGTAAGAAGAGTGTCAGTTTGGGGATAGGGAGGGGTTGCAGTTTTAAATCAGGTGATCAAATTAAACCTCCCATGTTTCTAGCCTTTTGTTATTGTTGTTGTTGTTGTTGTTCTTACAGAATGTTGTAATGATTTAATATTGCAGGTGAATCATCTGCATAAATTAAATATTGCCTGAAATAAAAGCAGTTCAGCTGAAGGCTAAATGTGATTGCTAAACGCTTAAGAAAGCATGAGAAGGTGCATGAGCCCTTGTCTGGCATTTTCAGGTTATCTATTGTTAGTTTCTTTTTCCAAAAATAGTATTTATTTTATATAGTCTTCCAGTGGAGTGTATCTCTGACACCTAGTGCCATGTGCTTTTAGTTAAATGTAAGTAGCCGTCTTATAAGACCAAGAGGTTCATCCAAAATGTTTCCTTTAAAAGTTCTAAGAAGTCTCCCCTGGTTGTTTTTCCAGCCCATAACAATGATGGATTTTGCAACCCTATGGGTCCAGCCATGTAAGAAAACCTAATGTTGTGAGTAATTCTCCTCTTTAAACACATATTTTGTGTTTCAGTTGTGGTTGTTTGGAGCTGTTGTATCTTAGGCATGGAGTTTATTATATGCATATAAATTACAGACCACAGATAGCTCCACCCAGAACAGCACTGTGTATATGATCCTGCACTCTCCGGTGCAGCGCCCCTTCTCCCCTGCCTGCTGTGTGACCTGACATGCAGATGAGTCCTCCTTTGAGTTCTAGAGTTGTGTACCTATGTACCCTGTCCCTGGCTGGCTTGTCTGTCCTCCCCTTTCCTGCATTCCACCATTATTCTCTCCCTGAAGTAGCTAAACTTTGGGAGGGGCAGTGTGTGGCTCCTCCCATTGTCTGAACCTGTAGACTAGAGCCTCTCTGCAGGTCTCTCTCCATGGGCTAGACCAGTCAAGATAAAACTCTTGTTTTGCCTCCTGTCCAGAACTGAGTAGCACAGTGCTATTCAGAAGGTTGACTGGAGCTAGGGCCATCAGAATGAATACTTTTTTTGTTTTTATTATAGTTGACATACAATATTATATTAGTTTCAGGTGTACAACATAGTGATTTGACATTTCTATACCTTACAGTGTGATCACCATGGTAAGTCTAGTAACCATTTCTCCCGTGCAGAGTTATGATATTGTTGACTATGCTGTATATTACATCCTGGTGACTTATTTATTTTACTAATGGAAGTGTGTACCTCTTATTTCCTTTCACTTTTTTACCCATCTTCCCACTCCCTCCCCTCTAGCAACCATCAGTTGGTTCTGTGTATTTATGAATCTGTTTCTGTTTTGTTTTTTTGTTCGTTTTGTTTTCTTAGATCCCATATATAAGTGATTTCTTACAATATTTGTCTTTCTCTTACTATTTCACTTAGCATAGTACCCTCTCAGTCCATCCATGTTGTCTCAAATGGCAAGATTTCATTCTTTTTGGCTGAGTAATTTTCCATTGTGTGTATATATGTGTGTGTGTATAAACATATGTGATGCATATGTACATGTGTGTACATATATACTATACATATGTATATGTATATATATACATAGGTATATACACACACACATACCATATCCACATTCATCTATAGATGGACACTTAGGTTGCTTCCATTTCTCAGCTATTGTAAATAATGTTGCAATGAACATAGGGGTGCATATATCTTTTTGAATTAGTGTTTGCTTTTTCTTTACATAAATACCCAGAAGTGGAATTGCTGAGTTGTATGGTATTTATATTTTTAATTTATTTAATTTTTAATTTTTTGAAAAACCTCCATGCTGTTTTCCATAGTGACTGCACCAATTTATGATCACACCAGCAGTATGCAAGGGTTCACCTTTCTCTACATTCACACCAACACTTGTTGTTTGTTGTTTTTTATGATAGCCATTCTGACAGGTGTGAGGTGATACCTTGTTGTCATTTTGATTTGCATTTTTCTGATGTTTAGTGATTCAGCATCTTTTTATATGTCTATTATTCACGTATATGTATTCTTTGGAGAAATGTCTATTGTGGTCCTCTGCCCATTTGTTAATTGGACTGTTTGGGTGGGGGGTTATTTATGTTGAATTGTATGAGTTTTTTATATATTTTGGACATTAACCCTTTATTGGATATATTGATTGCAGATATCTTCTCCCATTCAGTAGATTGTCTTTTCATTTTGTTGGTGGTTCTTTTCAAAGCCTTTTGTTTTAATGTAGACCCATTTGTTCATTTTTGCTTTTATTGCTCATAATAAACACATTTTGAGCATTGGCAGATGTCCTTCTGTTCCTTACCTGTTGTTCCCTGTCACCAGAGTCAAAGGATGTGGAGATCTGTGGAAACAAGCCTGGAACACTGAGAGAGAGGGTCTTCCAGAGGGAACGGGCTACAACCCTGGCTCACTGCAAGCCAGGTCCGGCTCGGAGCCTGTCGTGCATTATTCTGCATTGTGCAGTGTGTTTCTCTCACCTCCTGCAATAGAGTAACCTTGAGAAAGTCACATACTCTCTCTAGGCCTGTTTCCTCATCTGTAAAGGGAGAAGTTTCATCTCCAAATGACCTTCAAGATTGCTCTCACTTCTAATATTCTAATGCTATTAAGACACTATTTACTACCCTTCTCCTAAAAGTTGACTTTTTGACATGGTAGGGATCTTCCACTTCTATCCCCTTTATCCTTGACTGATTCTCCTCATGAATTCATCTTAATCATTTCATTGTCACTCTTCCTCTGTATGCTTTGCAACCCACGCATTCCTGAATCTGGCACATTTCTGCCACTGGAACCTGTGACACGACTGTGCAGATGGTTCTGGTGGCTTCTTCCTGTGCTCCCCACCCAACATACTGCTCTCGTGTTGGCATCTCTGAGTAGGGAGTTGGGCTGTTGAGAAAAACATGTTTGTAGCCCAGTGTCTTTATCTTAAAAGAGACAGAGAATGGAAGTATGTGTTCTTTTTGGACTGTTCAGGCTCTGATGACCACAATCAAAATAGATCTGTATCCAAGCAGTACAAAAGTAATAGATGTGAATTTTCTCATAATTTGGATCCTAACACAAAAGCAGTATACACGTAAATTGCATAGTCTGTACCATGATTTTTTAAAAATTTGTCGTTTGAACCTTGAGGAGGAAAATATACTCCAGTGGTTAAGAAAGCATTATTTTCTCTAAATTCCATAACATAGAGGGAGTGTGTTACATTTTCTCAATGCCTTGTGCCTGGGAATTTTGAAATGATAGCTTCAGCTGTGGTATTAATAAAGTTCCACAGTAAGAATGTCAGCGTGGAGAGAGATTGGTATAAATACATTAAAGCACCTGGATCTCATAAATTTTTTGTCAGACTGCTATTTACTTAATTGCCATAAGCTAAAATTTTTCTATTAGCATTTCTTTTCTGATTGTTACCAGTGTGATAAACATTTTTCTTTATTTATATAGTACAATTTATTTCAGGACAATGAATAAGGATTTAGTATTGAAACAAATTATAGGAATCAAATATTCCTATTGCTTATTTATTCAGAATATAACTTATTCAACAAAAATAGGTATACTTTATTTTGGGGAGAAACTGATAAATAGGATTATTTGTATTGGAAAAGAATCTGGATCTTTGAGGTAAAATATCTGGCCCAAAATTGCATAATAAATGAGAGACAAAAACTAGAAGTCATTTCCTTGGTATTTGATTCTTGTCCTTGTTTATCTGAATTGACACAAATATTTTATGTGAAATACCCATATTCCAAAAAATTATATTACTTTAAATATATCCTTAATAAATATACCTGTCTTTCAAAGAATATTGGAACCAATTCTCCTGTCTTTATATGGGTGCATATGTAACAATGTATGAATTGATGAGATTACATCTTATTTTTAAAAACTTCCAAGAAAGAAGCTTTCACAACTTCCCTCATTAATCCACTCTAGTGTTCAATTAGATTTGATGTCACAACACTGTCTTTCTTATCTAATTGTCTTTCTTATCTAACTTAAATCTCTCATGCTGTAGCTTAAGTCTGTTTTCTCTCACTCTGCCTAGGATATTAAAAGCAACTAATCACCATTATCCATAATAATATTTATGAAGTCCTCCATATATTTGAAATGTTAGCACTGTAACTGACAGTAAGCATAACTCCCAAATATCAGTGAATTTTAAAATAGAGAAGAGGGACCAGCTTGTAATAAATGTAGGTGGCATGGTAGTATTTAGTTTTGATGAATGAATAATACTGTGAACTAATACGACTTAAACAGACTAAATGAAAAGCATTCATCTATTAACTCCTTCACTGAAATATTCATCAGGCACCTACTTTGTGATATTGTGCTCTGTTCAGAAGTACAAAAAAATGAATCATGGAGTCAAGACAATTTCAGTGCAAGGGATTTTTTAAAAATAGAATTTATTAGGTGTATTGTAAAACTTATTAGGTACATTATTCAGAAATGTGAAGATAGAATCGCTTAATCTTAAGAGGATAACTCTATGTCCTGTTTAATGACTGTGTGGTATTTACAACCCCATCTGGAGGTGGGGCCGAAAAAATATAGTCTAATTATTAGAACATTTTCTCTTTACTTTACAACTGCCCTATTACCAAAACCTGTGTTAAGCATCAAAATTCTACTTTACGTGGTCCCTGAGCCCTGCATCTGGAAGCCCCTGCGTTCTGGCGTTGATACTGAAGAGCTTCCTGTGTCTTCCTGTGTGTATTTGGACATGTGTGAGCACTGGTCAGTGTAGGACAAGAAGTTTTATGACTGGAAATAAATTGCAGAGTTGTGAAGCATGAAAATGACATGCCTGGAATGCAGAACACAGAAGCCTCTGCCTCTTCTCTTTATCAGACAGCAGAGGCAGAAAGGAGAGAGATTTATTCTGGAGCCATTTGACACTGACCAAGCAATTTCTAACAGATAAAATGCTGATTTATTGCTGCAAAGAGAATAATGGGTATTCTTGCTAAAATGCCATTAATAATTTTATTGTTTAAAGTGCAAATTATATTCAGCAATGTGTTAGTCCCCTTATGAGGAGAAGTTGAAGTAATTCAGTATAGGCTTTCAGCAGAAAAGGACAAAGTAATTAGCAAATCTTAAAAGAATTCATTCACCAAGGTTGGCTGATATTTGAATTCTCTCAGCTATAAAGATGTAGAAAAAAAAATGTATTTAAGAAATACAGGATGATGCAAGTATTTGTTTAAAACAGAAAAGCCCTAAGAAAGCTGATTTTGGCACACTCTGTAGATTTAAGAGTATGCCTTCTGTGGGTGCCTACTGTATGTGTAAGACATTGTGCTAGTCACCACAGGGAAAACAAAATTAGAGAAAACATAGGGATCCTACTGTCTGATGGCAGGAATGAGATCACAGTTAATTAAAATATATAACTGAAAGATACACATGAAGAGGTTCCAGGAGAAAATGACATTCAGAAGGTGACATTTGAGGTCAATTTTAAAAGATGCCTAAGATTTCTG